GAAAGGAATTTTGAAATTTTTGAAATTTTTCATCCCGGATTCATATATTCAAATTGGAAATGACGGCCATGAAATGGGAAGCCCACTTTGGCCTTCGGTGGAAAATTTAGTTTTGGTCCAATATATTCACTGAAATTTTTTGAAAAATATAAAAAGGGTCCAACTTTGAAAACGACTCGTTTTTTGAAGTTTTTTCAGGTTTTTCTGAGGAAATCGATGGAAGAACGAATTGAAAAAAATCGGCATGTTTTCATATAGAAAGTGTGTTCGAAGAAGCATATTTTGGAAAAAAATCAAATCGGTTGATTTTTACGGAAGTTACAGGCATTTGAAGATAAAATTTGCAAAAAAACATGGCTGCCCACAGAATGCCTCAAAAAATCTGAAACGATTTGAGAAGTTATATTTTTCCATATACAACCACAGGAAAAATCGGCAATATGATTGGCGATGGTGAGGCTTTTGACCTGGGTGAGTTCACATGGAATACCCCATCGTGATTGTATAATCACGATTCCAACTGCTAGTTATGAAATCGATGATATACAAAATTATTTGCAAAAGGTCTTACAAAAAAAACGTGCTGATTTGAAAGCAAATAATAATACTGTGTGCAGTGAAATCAAAAATAATCGTGGAATAAATTTCATCCCTTCAGATTCCATTGGTCAAATATTGGGATTCGATAATAAAATTCTCATACCCGATAAAACTCACACATCAGATTTACCTGTGAGAATTCTCAAGGTCAATTCGTTATGTGTGGAGTGTAATATAAATGGTGGTGCTTATATGAATGTGAAAAGAATGCACATTATTCATGAATTTTTCCCCACTTTACCACCAGGACATAAGATCGTGGAAGTCCCGAAAAATCTCATTTATCTACCGATCGCTGTACAAGCGATAGATCATCTCCAGCTTAAATTAGTAGATCAAGACGGTGAATTAGTGAACTTTCAAGGTGAAACAATAACGATAAGACTTCATGTGAAGCAAGCATAATGGGTATTGTGTTCAGGACGAAAATTGGAAAGAATTATAAAAGCACGTTATCGAAGCGAGGAGCCAACAGTCAACAAAGAACCAGCAAACAGTTAACACGTCAGAATATTCAATTCCTCAGAAGCTTAAATTTGAAGCCAAGAGTGCAGAAGATGAAAAAACATGGATGATATATTGAGAATTCAGAAATCAGTTGAGTTTGATGAGTCCATATCTCATTATGAGATGCATACGCATCCACCATTCGCCTCATCATCGTTCGGTAACAACGATGAAATTTCGATAAAAGTACAACATTAAGATTTATGTCTTTGTTTCGGCGAGGATTAATCCGGAAAAAAACCAATGGAGAGCCGGGGGATGAGGAAGGGTAGAGAAAATTCTCAATAATTAAATGTCACTGCGCGCGTGGGTAGAGTTACAATAAAAAACTATATTTCTCATAAAATATACACAAAGCTTGAAAAATATATGTGTTAAATTGAACACTGTCAATTAATAGACGAGACACGGTAGAGAGTTTTCACGTATGAGATGTTCATAATAATTCCCGATTTAATCGCGGAGATATTTCACACGATGTGCACTTACTAGCCCGTGGATTCAGAAGAAACTGGAAGTGAGTTGAAGAAGGTCAAGTGTCGCGGCAGGTATCAAGCGATGCCAATTAATTGGGGCGTGGCCGGTAAAACAGTCACATCCCAGAAGGTGCTGCCGTACGCGGTCACAGGACCTCACACGATGAGGCCCATGCCTCAACAGTCTTTTATCCAGTAAAAGTCTTCACATTTACGGACGATTAACCAAGGAGGACGGTTTTACTCCAGTTCAAAGAACGAGACTCGTGAATAATACGATCTGTCATTTATTTGAGGAGATTCGATACGAGCTCAATGGTATTGAAATTGATCGTGCAAAGAACGTTGGTTTGATGAGTCTTATGAAGAACTATGTTTCTCAAGGCCCCAACCAATTGTCTTTAATAGAGAATGCGTGTTGGTTGAGAGACAATAGTATGGATAGCGCTGAGACGATCACAAACGCAAATGGGTATTTACCCCATGCCGTGATTTTGATATTTCGATACCAATGAGTTTAATTTTTGGTTTTGCTGAAGATTATCAAAAAATTATTGTAAATGCATAATATGAGCTTATTCTCACAAGATCTAAGACTGATGTAAATGCAATTCTTCAAAACCGAATCACAGCTAAAAATCCTGAGGAGAAATATAAGATTACAATACAGAAAATTGAATGGTTAATTACTTATGACAAAGTTTCGGATGAACGGAAAGTCAAACTGCTCAACTTTATTACAAAAGATGCCCCCATTAGAATCGGGTTCCGCACCTGGGAGCTGTATAAATATCCTTTACTTCCTGCAGTTTCAAAGCATGTTTGAGTGGTGAAGACATCGAACCAGTTGGAGAAACCACGATATGTGATTCTAGAATTCTAGACGGGAGAAAGACTCCAGTGACTAATGCTAGCAACTTCGATCGTTGCAATATTCGTGATGTGAAATTATTTTTAAATTCGCAAAGTTATCCTTATCGAAACTTGAATCTTGATATTAATCATAATCAATACTCTACATTATACAATATGTATGTGAACTTCCAAGACTCATTTTATGGAAAAGATATGTATGTATTTTATTGATTCCCCATAGGGGATACAAGGACTTCCGCTTCATACAAAAATTAAAATTAAAATTAAAATGCTTTATCTCTTATTCCTAATTCCTAATATCTACTTTACTGCTGCGCAACCTTATTCCTACTATTTACATTCCTATTTCCACGTTTCCTTATACCATTAACCAAACATAACTTATTCCTTAGAATGAGACAGTGAGAATGAGTAAACGAGCGAGCGATTGAGAGTAACCTCCATTTCCGGTTTCCACATGAGCTTTCTTCCAAACCGCCTCTACTCCCTCTCCCATCTCACGATCGACGTACCCCCCCTTTCTCTCCTCATCCCTCCCATTCCCCAATTCACTTTGACATTTCACTCACTCTCCTTTCCATACCCTTCCCATTCTATCATCCACTTCTCTCCTGTTCCTTGCTCATCCAATATTTCAGTCACTCTTTCCCATACATCCCTTCCTCCATCTTCCTCCTCCATACATTCCTCCAGCACACGCATCCACGTCTCCCTCTGCCAACCACACCTCCTACATTTACTGAGTTCTTCTTTCTCCCACTTCCTTTCCCCCCTTATCCCCTCTCCCAACCTAAACCTCGCCACCCTGTTCCACCTTTCCTCACCCCAGCTATTCTCCAGATATTTCGGGATCCCCTCCACTGCCACTCCTCCTCTTCCCTTCCCCCTTCCCTTCCTTCGCCTTTCGCTTCTAGCCCTCTCTCCTCCTTAAACCTTCTCCTTCGCACTTCCCACCTTGAAATTCCTCCTTTCTTTTCCCTACTCGCTATCTCTTTCAAACACACCATCGCAAAATCACTACCCTCCCCCCTTCTCAGCTTCTCCTCGAATTTCCACGCTCTTTTTGCCGCCCTGCTACTCATTTTATCTCTCTTCAACTCCTCCCTTACAAGATACCCTGGAGTCGCCCTTTTCAGGCCTAACACCCACTTCAGGTATCTCTCCTGGATCCTCTCCATCCCTTCCCATTCTTCCCACCCCCATATCTCCGCCCCGTACCCCATGACCGACCATACCAAGGTATCATACAGCCAGACTCTCCTCTTCCAGTCCTTTCTAAACCTTCTCTTCCCAATACCCCATACCGGCCCCATCACCCTCCCTGCCTTCGCTATCCTTTCTTCCACCTGTCTTGCCTGTCCGCCCGTACTTTTGAACCAATATCCAAGGTAACAAAATTCCCTTACTTCCTCTATTTCCCTCCTCCCTAACTTCCATACATCTCTCTCATTCTCCCTCTTCGCCTTCTTCCTGAATACCATTACCTTGGACTTATCCACGTTTATCGTAAGATCCTTTTTCTTAATATATTCCCCTATCTGCCCTATCATGATCCTCATTCCTGGCTCGTTCTCCGCTACTAACACCATATCATCCGCGTAGGCTAAAGAAAATATTTTCGTATTTCCCAACTCCACTCCCCCCCCTCCACTTGACCCTCAGATATTCCTCCAGATCCGCTAACAACACATTAAATAATATCGGACTCAATGGACACCCCTGCCTTGCCCCTCTCGCTGTATTTCTTCGAAACTTTCTCTCCCACCCTTACCTTGCTCGCCGTTTCCACATATATTTCCTTTATCCGTTCTATCAGGCCCTTCGATATCCCCCTCCTCTCCATCGTTTCCCACATCACCCCCCTATTCACCGAATCGAACGCCGCTTTCAAGTCCACGAAAAACGCCACTAACTTCCCCCTTTCCTTTGCCAACTGCTTGTTCACCAAGTAATTCAACACGTAGATGTTGTCAATCGTCCCCATCCCTTGCCTAAATCCCGTCTGATTGTGCGGTACTATTTTCTTTTCGCTTACCTCCTTCTCTAACCTCTTTGTTACCACCGCCGCGTAAACTTTATATAGCGTGTGCATTAACGTAACCCCTCTGTATTCCTCTACCTTTTTTCCCTCTCCTTTCTTCACTATCGGCGCTAATAATCCCTCCTTCCACTCCTCCGGCCACCCTTCCTCCCTCCACACCCTATCACAAATCCTCCATGCTACCATTCTCATCCCCTCCCCCCTTCATTCCATATTTCATTCTCGATTCCGTCTTCTCGCGTTGCTTTTCCCCCTTTCAATTTCCTTATCGCTTCTTCCACTTCCTCCTGCGTCAATCCCTCTTCCTCCCCCCCTGCACTTTTTCTCCTCTCCTGCCCCCTCACCTTGCCCTCTACACCCCCTAACATTCTCATAAAATATAACTTCCATTCCCTCATTTCTATATCTTCATTAATTCCCTTCCACACCCCTCTGTCTCTGTTTATTAATACCCATACCCTGCCTTCCTCTATCGCCTTTTCCACCTCCCTCTCGAACTTCTATATTTCCTCCGCTCTCTTCTCCTCGCAGAGCTTGCTATATCTCCGTTTCTTTTCCCTGTATTCATCTCTACTCCCTAATTCCTTCCTCGCTCTCCTCAACGCCTTCCTCACTTCCTTCTTCATATCTCTACACTCCTCGTCCCACCAATCTCCCCACCCTTTTCTCTTCCGTTTTATTTTTTCCTCTATTTCTTCCTTAAACTGCTTCACTCTATGCCTTATCTCCTCCAGCATTTCATTAACCGCTCCCTCTTCCCCCCACTTCACCCCTTCCAGCCTTTTTCTGAGCTCCCCTCTTTTCTCCCTTTCCCAATTCGCGACCTTTATCTTTTTCACACCTGCTTTTCTTTTTTTCTTTTTCCTTTCTCCAATCTCTTCACCCTTCACTGTTACTACCAATGGATAGTCGTCAAAGTCACACCTCACTCCCACTTCAAACCTCTCTATCCTTTCTCTTCCCTTTTCCTCTGCTAATACATAGTCTATCACTGAACTCATCCCTGCCCTCTCGAACGTGAATTCTCCTTCCTCGTCCCCAGCAAAATTCCCATTCAAAATTGACCATCCCATTTCATCCAATATTCTTAACAGACCCTTTCCTCCTTTGCATGCTTCACTTCCATCCAACGAGTTCCTTTTACTACTTCTCTCTCCTTCCATCCCCTCTCCCCCACCTCCTTTACAACCTGTCTTCATATTGAAGTCCCCTCCGACGAGCACCAACTCCTCTGTTCGCTCCTCCATTACTGTTTTTACCCGTTCTAACTTAACCTCCTCATCCTCATTCACATATATACCTATCACCCTCCACCTTCTTTCACCCAACCTAACCGCTCCTTCTATCCACCCCTCCATCCCTTGCTCTATCGTTTCTACTCCCCCCATCCCTCCTCACATAGCTCTTTCTTTATCCCTATCATCATACCCCCCATCCATCTCCCCTTTTTTTATCCCTTTTACCCACTTGCACCTTCCACCTGAAATTCTCAGATGCTCGCCTCTTTATGCCCTCCCAACCCTCCTTATCCAACCACGTCTCTAACAGAATAACCACGTCCCACTCTTTCATTCTTTCGTGCCAAACTTCTCCCCTACCATTCCTTAACTTCATCATTCTCTCATCCCAAATCCAGAGTCTCCCCTCGACCCACAATCTTCCTCTTCCCACTCCTTTTTCGCTTCCCCACCTCATCTCTAACTCCGCCATTCTTTCCAACTCCCATTGTATCCTCCTCTCCTTGAATGTGAGGTCATGTCCTATTCGTTCCGTTCTCCCCTTCAGCTTTCCCCTACTATCAAAAACTTTCTTTTTTTGGTCCTCACTCTTCAACCCTACTACTATCGACTCCCCCCCGTCCCTATCTTTACCTCCAAATTTTCTCAGCCATTGCACCTCTACCTCTACCTCCAGCACCTCCCTCAACAATTTCTCCACTTCCCCTCTCCCGTCCTTTGTGTCTAGCCTCACTCTCCTAATTGCAAAATTGCTCCTCCTCTTCTCCCTTTCTGCTTTTTCCTCCCTCCATTCTAACTCCTGTATTCTTTTCTCTATGCTCGCCCTATGCTTCCCCGCCTCTCCCTCCCCCCCATTCCCTCCTCTCTCCTCCTTAACAACTCCTCAACTTTTCTTTCGATCACGTCAACTTTCTCAATCTTTTCTTCTCCCCTTTCTAATCTATTTCCCGTTTCCTTTTTCTCCTCCTTTCTTTCCCTCTCCGCCTTCTCCCATTTCTCCTCCGCCTCATTCAGTTTTTCCCATATTCTTCCCCGTTCTTCTTCCCACTTCTCTTGCCACATGTCTAAACCTTCCTTCATTCTCTGCATTTCTTCTCTCCCCTCCCTCCCTTCAATTTTCAGATCCTCCAGCGCTGCCATGGTATCCCTGCTGAACCGTTCTAGCAACTTCTCCAGCCTGCTCACTCCCCCCTCCCCCAATTGCCCATTACCCTCCTCCTTTTTCTTTTTCTTACTTTCCTCCTCGTCCTCATCGCTTTCCCCTTCACCCAGCCTCTCTCTTTTCCTGTTTTGACCACTGCCCCTCCCTCTTCCTACACTACTAACCTCTTCTCGTCCCTTATTTAATTCCATATCCTTCGCTACCTGCATCAGATCCTGTATCGATTCGCATCTCATTCCTAACTTCTGTCTCTCTACCTTTTCCCTCAACAACCTCTGTGCCATTGGCAGTGCCCCCCTCTTCTTCTTCTTATTAACTTTTCCTTCCCCATCACTTATTTCCCTCCTTTCCCTGCCCTCGCTATCCGTCTCCTCATCACCCCCTCCTGCCCCTGCCGATTCATAATACGTCTCATCCATACTCAGATTCCCTGATGGCGCCCCTACCCCCTCCCCCGGAACCACCGCACCATCGACCCTCTTCTCCTCCCGCAACACCTGATCCACTTTATCCTCACCGAATAACGTGGACTTGAAGTAACTCATCATACCGACTCTCCCTCCCTTACTCACCTATCTATCTCCTCTCCTTCCTCTTTCTCTCACTTTCGTGTTCACGGCACCACCTGGACAATTCCCTTTCTCTCCCCCCCTTTTTCCCCCGACGACCAAACCTTGCCCTTTTACCAGGGGTACTAGCCCTTATCCCTACTCAGCCCTACTTCCTATCCTACACAATCCTACTGCGCTGACCCTTTTTCACCCTCCGCTTTCTCATACTACCCTGCTCTTGACCCAGATCTTGCCCACACTCACACCTAACCTCCAATGCACGTGCCCACCCTTTCGCTCCACTCTCCCACAATTCCTTCCACCAAATCATAACCCTTCATACACCCAATCACTCAGCTCACTCTCCCTCCCCTCCTCCTCCCACACCAACCCTCCTCCCAACAATAACCCTTGCAAATTTGCAAAAAACCGTCGTGTCCGCGAAAACCACCACTTGCTCCTCGCAAACCGGAAACGGAAGTCCTATGGAAAAGATATGGAGCCATTCATGAGTACCTCTCAATTCTTAGAGAAGGCGTCATTGATTTTCATCGATTTCTCGAAACAAAACGAGTACCTGAAGAGTGGTCCAGTCGATATTCATCTGGAATTCGAATCAACTACACACTTCCCAGCTAACACGTCAGCTTACTGTCTTATCCTCCACGATCGAATTGTCGAATACAATCCTATCAGTGGTGGAGTCAAGAAGCTAATGTAAATAATCGAGTTCTGGAGTAGAAGTATGATGATATTGATAGAATAAGAATCAGTTTCACACCAGCTTCTGGAGCGACTACATAAAAAATGGATAAAGGAAGAAACGATAATTCTAACTATTCAAGTACGAAGTCTTACTCAGACAACCAGAAAAAGGACACATCTCTTGAAGGAAGTACGTTGTATAGTGATCTGGTGAATACAGGACGTTTCGGAGCAGTAGGTGATGAGAGATATAAAAATAAATGAATATCATGATGTATATTAAAACTAAATGAATAATTTTGTTTTATTAAAAAAATTCTTAGCCTTCTTATTGTACACTGTCCACTCAAAAACATTACTATATTAACTATGTGAAACGAGTTTCAAAGACAGTTTGTCTGTGTTGTTTCAGCATTATAGGATTCAATATTTTTTCACACAAACTTATTCGATGCTTAAAACGATCGTGGTCTCGAGCTATCTGCTTCCGCGTACCTTGACGAGCGGATTGATATACATAATCCCAATGCAACATCAAATGCACTCGTGGTTCTAGGGTGAAACTGATTTCCTTCTTTTTCTCTCGTTGTTCATCCATATTTATAGCAATTTTCTCCATCTCAAACTAAATCAATCTTCTCATAAACACGAGGACACAAGAAAACTTCATACTCAAAACTGAGAAGCTCAATCATGTCTCGCAAATTTTTAAAATTTTCTTTAATTATTCCTCAAGTTTGAGATAAATTCGCACAAGGAGAACATTTCGATATTTGAGCAGGTTTGAATCTGGACCATACATCTTTGAAGTTCTTGCGGATTCGATTAATGAAACCATCAATTGCTGGAAGTTCACGTGGTGCATGAATCAATAGTTTGGTCACAACGTTACTCTCATGGAGACAGTACGGTGCAACTGAGTGTAACCATTGAATTTCTTGACAGTCAATGGCTCATCATCATCATCATCCACTTTCTTCATCTTCTGTCTCAGATCCTCGCAGAATTTCTTCAATTTTTGTAAATTATCAATAGTTTTAAAGAGGTGTGATAATTTGTTATACTGTTCGGTGCAATGAGAGCAATTAGATCTTCTCTCGGGATGTCACTCCGCTTTCAATACCTCATAATTGCTCCACAAATATTGCAAATCGGCCGTAAGATATTTTGCAAACTGATGAGCATTCTCATAAAAATGTTCATGGATGGATGACATCCTCATCAGAGCTGTTTCCTCCTGCACTTTTCACATGATGATGCTGATTGTGATAACACATACTAACAAAACCTCAAGTATCTTCACTTATCTGCACTGGTCCACACCGAATTGTTCACTAATGATTTTTTTCTCCTTTCATAAATCACTTTTTCTACAAAAGTAAAGGCAAATTTGACCCAATTGTAAATCTATTAGAAGTGATATTAAGATGATATCAACAACAACCATAAGATGGTATACAATCGAGATGCTATTCATAAATCGGACTTGATTTCGAATTAAGTGCGGATCGTGCGGAGTGAGTGGCTTATATAGCGAACCCCCACTCTGAATAAGAATGGATGACTCATGGAGAATATTCGAGAACATTCGATAATCTTCTTTCATCCTCTACGTAAGTCTCAACGCGACTTATAGAATACCCCCACCGCGAAACGATAAGTCATCAGCATAGCAAATGAGTTACTCATCGATTGTATCATCCGCATCAAAGACATTCCGCCGCCTCTCTTCGTGGAATCTCATTGCATGCAAGTCTCAACAGGACTTACTCCCTCTCCGCGGAACAATGAGTCATCTCTCGAATTACGTCATTTCTCTAGAACATTCCACGATCGTGCTACCACCTGGCTCCAGAACGTTCTATATGACGTCATCCTTCCAGAACATTCCACGACCGTGCTGTCACCTGGTGGCGGCGATGAGCTTTGATACAGAACCAATCTAGCATACCTACTAATATTCACAACCAACTGAGCATTTGATTCCCTCTGCAAATCTTTAATCTCAGGAAAAAATTGATACTGTGATATAGCTGCACATGCGTTGAACATGATACCGAATTCTTGTTTATTCATGCATCATTCAGGATCACTTGCCTCGCTGAGTCAATTTCGATGAGTCTTTCAAACTCAGCATAAATTACAGCGTTAACCGTTGACATTAATGAATCATCAAATCGTACCTCGATGCGCATGTTACCACTTCGTATCAAATTCCAGTGTGAATTGCCATTCGTTGACAAATCTGGTGTCAAATCGAATGCAAATAGACAATAGGCATGCGGATAATCTTCACGATGGATACCATTGCCATCCTTCAGGAAATGTACAACACCAGTACTTGAGAACATGGTGTGGTATGATTCCACATATAAACCATTCTCATGAAACTCCAGTTGCAGAGGTGTGGATGGTATCTGACGACCGACCACTCACTCCGCACGATCCGCATTTAATTCGAAACGAACCGACCACATATAAGGATATATGATTCAGACGAAAATGTTGAAAGTTGGAAGGGTTTAATCTTTTATCGCCCACATATGCACGGTTCGTCACGAATCCAAAAATGATACGTTTTGGCAGTTGTC